AATTTGAAAGTATGCAGCCGGAAAAAATCTGCCTCTTCCTTAAGGCCCAGATACACCGGCCCGAAATAGGCAGTCAATGGGAGTCGGGCCGAACATGAGCGTGGCCACGCCCTATTCGGAGTGGTGTGCGCCGCACCGTCGGGTCTTTTCTGCCGACCTGACGCCTTTTTTGCTTGAATCGGCGTAGGGAACATCACCGGAAGTCGGATAAAGGGATAACACTGATTGGCTGTTCAGCTAGCGAATTAGTGCATGAGAAGCGTTAACGGAAGTGAGGGAAGTAAATAAATGATTTAAAATGGAAGATGGAACACACACGGACGGCTATTTCACCTCATCGGTTTATAGAGCTCCTGTTCGTTCATGTTTTCAATGGACGAGAGTGAAAATGGAAAGAAAAACGCTATTTGTTGTTTGTTTATATCACGGAGCCAGTTCTTCTTCTCTGTCGTCCGGTTGTTCCGGTTGTTGCCTCTTTTGAATGATGAATAGACACTACCGCCGCCTGCTGGTAAGGAGAGTTATTGCCACTCACGTATACGCAGTTCATACGTGCTCGGCTCGGATTTGCGGTGTGTTCCAGTGCGCGAAGTCGGCAAATACGCAGGAGAGTCCGGCGACGCAACAGTCGGTGTCGGCGTCGGCGACTTCTCAGGTGACTGGCCGGTGTATCTGGGCCTTAAGAAGCAGTCCTGAAGAACCATCATCGCAGGAAAACAAAAAAGACAAACGTATTTTGTCGAGCAAGTAATTGTTTGTATAACACATTCGAACCTTTGCAGGGGATGCCCACTGCGGATGGCAGAACAGACCTGAATCCAGTAGACTTCTAGGAATGACTACTCCAAAATTACCTAGGTTATTAGTTTTTACAGAGTAGCAGTTCTAGAAATGAATAGTTCTAACAGACCTCTAACCACTGACAAATGTGGCCCAAAGGAGCAGCCTTTCCCCCCCTCTGTCTTCCAGCTACGTTGGTAGAGGTTTGTGCTCGTCTCACATGTCAAAAGTGAATGAAACACTAACTCTAGGTATTTAGTCATGTATAGCTGTCTGAACACTTAGCTGTTTATTTTTGAACAGTTGTGCTTAAGATTTCTGAACAGATTTCGCTCTAGAGTTTGTTGCCCTTGTTGTCTTTTGGACAAAACCATCTGCCAATCTAATGTAATGTAATGATAGAAGTGTTGCAGTTAATCATGGTCTGCTGCGATTCAGGAATATTTTATTAGGTTTCAGACATAAATAAGAAAACTAAGTATAACTTTTGTTGTGTTAAATTTGTATCTGTGCTTTTCGACCATGCCTCCATTAAACATTCCTCAGGTCATTTTATGTTATTTAGTTAGTGCAAATAGAGATATTAACTTAGTTAAACTAACTTGTATTTCAGTTTTTTTCTCGTATCTTTTTGTGCGGATGTTTAGCCAACTGTCTGGTACCTCTGTCACTCTCCTCATTAAAATATATTCCTCCCTCTCCAGGCCACCGCACTCCCCCTGCCCGCAGTGGGCATCGCTGTGTTGCCGACAACACAAACCTTTATGTGTTTGGAGGGTACAACCCTGACTACGATGAGTCAGGAGGTTCAGAGAATGAAGACTACCCCCTGTTCAGGGAGCTGTGGAGGTACCACTTTGCCACGGGCTGCTGGCAGCAGATCCAAACAGACGGCTATATGCCAACAGAGCTGGCGTCCATGTCAGGTGAAACATTGTTTGAACATTACAAAAACACAATCAAGTTTTCTGTTCCAAAATGTTTAAAATTGAGATTGGTGTTCCTGTGTTGCTTTAGCTGTTTTGCACGGAAACAACCTCCTGGTGTTTGGCGGCACCGGGATCCCCTTTGGTGAAAATAATGGCAACGACGTACATGTTTGTAACGTGAAGTACAAGCGGTGGTCACTGCTCAACTGTCGGGGAAAGAAGCCCAACAGAATATATGGACAGGTAACCTCATAAATCACCCTGCCATGTGATTAACTCTGGTTCAAATTTAAAAGTAGGGATTTGAAATATTGTAGAGACTGAGGTTTGTTTATATCTTTCCTCCTTCAGGCAATGGTTATTATAAATGGCTTTCTGTACGTATTTGGGGGGACAACGGGCTACATCTACAGCACAGATCTGCACAGGCTGGACCTGACCACCAGGGAGTGGATTCATCTCAAGCCCAACAACCCTCCAGACGACCTACCTGAGGAACGGTAAGTCTACATGACCCCTGAATGTGCTGAAGGATCAAACATAGCTAGAGATGTAAGTAAATCTCCATGACACGCTGTTGTATTTGTTACAGGTACAGGCATGAAATAGCACATGACGGACAGAGGATCTACATTCTAGGAGGAGGAACTTCCTGGACATCTTACCCTCTGGACAAGGTACAACATCAATAAGGGTATAACTTACCAAACACATTTCACTGTGTGCCAGCCAGAATTCAAAATGCTTATCACTGTTTGTTACCATTTCATTTTGTACACAAATCCATGTTAACACTCCCTTTGCCTCACAGTAATTATTGTGTCTGTTTAATAGATACATGCTTACAATCTGGAGACAAATTCCTGGGAGGAGATTACAACTAAACCTCAGGACAAAATAGGTCTGTATTCCGTACTATAAACTGAGCCAGTTTTTGTTCTCCCATAAAAGCCATTCTAAAAGTGTCTGTGCTTCTGACAGGGTATCCTGCTCCCAGGAGGTGCCATAGCTGTGTACAAATTCGAAACGGTGAGCAACTCTGCAACCAATATCATCTGATAAAAATCCTACTTCTGTCATTCCGCCATTTGATATCACATCCGCGTATGTGTAAGTGTTTTGGTAGTACAACGGTGTCTGACAGTTCTTTTTTCTCTGTTGTAGATGTATTTATCTGTGGAGGCTACAACGGGGAATTGATATTATCTGATCTGTGGAAGATCAACCTGCAGACTTTCGAGTGGAGTAAACTACCAGCAGTGATGCCTGAGCCCGCCTACTTCCACTGTGCTGCTGTCACTCCAGTTAGTACACCAGTCTTTAGTCTACGCATTCATGTTCAAATAATGAGCCGCAGTTTGAGGGGAACACGGTTACTCAATCCTCTTCATTTAGACGAAGTGAAGAGAAGTGTGATAAATGTTGATAAAAGTAATGTAAGCCATGAAATTCCTTTTAAATGCTGAGAACAAATCCCTTAATGTTTGTCAAACTTCCTACTAGATAAAGTATTTTAAGTTCTGTAATCAAAGCAAAATGACAGGAAATGTGAGTGACTGAGAAATACTGTACTTTCTATCAGATGGTATTTAATGAGCCTATATTTAAACTTTTTCAATGTTTTAACTGCACAAAACGAACTGAAATAATTGTCAGTCACACTCCAAAGGGGCATCTCAGAACCTAAAGGTATTATCTCTAGTAGATATATAATATTTCTCCTTCCCTCCCTAGGCTGGCTGTATGTACATCCACGGTGGTGTGGTGAACATCCATGAGAACAAGAGAACTGGCTCTCTGTTTAAGATCTGGCTGGCTGGGCCCAGCCTGCTGGAGCTCTGCTGGGAGAAGCTTCTCAAGTCCTTTCCCCATCTGACTTCACTACCCACAATGCAGCTGCTCAACCTGGGCCTCACACAGGAACTCATTGAGCGCTTGAAATAGGCCACACAGTAGAGGACGGACAAATAAATGGACGGACTGGGAGGAGACAAAGTCGGACAGAGCACAGCATTTGATTCAGAGCTAAATTCTGGGGAAATGCCCGCTCCTTCCCCCGCCTAACGTAGCCCCGCCTTAAAACCAAAAACAATCGGATGCCTTTTTTTTTGTTCTTATTTCTTTCGCAGTTTTAGTGATAATAAAGAAAATAAATATGGAATGTTGAATGGATTTTACTCCATCCCCCCAGCCACCACGGTTCCTTACATGATGCCTTTGGGTCAAGCTAAACATGAAATCCTGCTCCTCAACCTCCAACCTGTGACACCCGGATTATCTTGCCACGTCTTGTCTTCAACGACTGCCCCCCCATTATAAAACAAATCTGCCTACTCTAGTACTTTTAAGAATTCTGTGCAAAGGACGAATGCATGTGTATTTATTTGGACTAAATCAGTTTTCCTGGGGGTCTTCTCGTCACCCGGTATCGCTGTTTGCACTTTGTTTTACATACTTGTGGACATTTTCCTCTTCTTTTTTTTTTTATAGATCCTATAAGCAGCTCACCTTCAGTCAATAAGTGGCAGCCAGTGGTTTTGCTAAAGACCATGCAAATGTTTAGCCAATTGAATTCAAGTCTCATGTATGATTTTCATTTCGGCTGACGTTGTTTTAGATTTTTAAATGTGTTTGCAACCTACCAGGCAGCCTTTTTATTTGTTATATCTTTATGGTATGAAAATCTATTAAAACCTGTGTTTGTCTAAAGGGAAGGAAAAACATTTATTTTGATTTTAAAGTTATGGTATGCCTTGGAAATGGTCATGGTCAAGATGTTGTAAGTTAGGAACACTGTATGCTCTTAGTTTGTGAAAGGGTGAATGCAGGGTTTGCCGATGTCTGAGCCTTGTGTTTCCAGATCTCTCCATCATACAGCCTAGTTGGAAAAACCATCTGCAAAAAAGTTCAAAAGAATTTCACCCCGTTTCCTTGCAGCTCTCATTTGTACACCAAACCATGCAACACATCACTGTGAATTTGGTGCTCTTTAAACTTAATTCTAAATGCTTTTATCAAATAAAGACTTAACTCTGCTCACTATTACTCCCTCTCTGTTGATACTGTTTTGCAGAAGGGTTGATTTAGAAGCAAGCTCAAACATTTGTTATACTGCAGTGCCTTTTTCAAACTTGAATGAGGCTGAAATATTGGCAGTAAAAGATCTGTGTAGGCATGCAATAGTTTGTTAAAAAGTTAGTGAACATTGAAACAGTGATCATTTACATAAAATCACTCTGTGAAAAATAGTGATTTTGGATCCTGTTTAAAGGATGCAGAGGCTTTGATTTAGCTGTTAATGGCCAGAGCTAGTAGACTTCAGGATGCATCACATTGGGCCTGTCAAGTGACTGAGTTCATTACAGTTGCTATGTTTAACTCATGATTTGATCAGATGCCGGATGATGTTGCAACTTGAACAAAGTGATGAGTGCTAAGAGATAAGGAGAGGCCCAGGATGAGACGTTTGATCTGCCTGCTCTTCTTTCCCTTGCCCTTTATTTTCCTTCTGCATAACTCACTGCTCTGTGCATGATGTTATGACCTGCTTTTTTTTATAAACATCAAACCTTTACTTTAGGAAGTAGCTTTAAAGGTGACCACTAAAATGTTGTACAGTAGGCTTGTATGAATGTTGTGAGTACTGTCAATAAAAGGTTCTGTGAATAGCTCTCTGAACCTCGGTTCCCGTTGCTTCACTGAACATAAGCATGATGAGAAATATGTTGTTCTAGGTTTTGCACGAGTTAATGTTGCCATGTCCAGCCATAGAAAACATATTTAATCTAAGCTATAACAGGCATGTACTGTGTCCTGTTATTTGGACATACTAGTGCCAAATGTTAAATAACTTATTTCGTAAAAACAAAAGGACGTTGGTACTGAAGATACAAATATTTTTATTTCATGTTTTATAAATTGTTGCATTTATTATATTCTTTATAAACAGCATATTACATACCAGAGGCAAAAATAATTACTACAGATTCACAGATTTCTTTAACATTGCCAGGACGGGAAATATGTTCCAGCATCCAAAACACCATTTCAATATCATATATTGACAAATAGCTCACAGCTATTCACCTACAGCTTTACTGTGCAATTTCAAAATCTCAATCCAAATATTTGTCCATCTTTTGAGGCGCTGGATCCACTGGGAATGTTGGAGACTTTGATCAACAAGAGCGTGGAGAAGGAGCAAAGAAGTAAAGAGCCAGAAGGATGAGGTAGACCACCACCAGAGCAGTGCCTGCAAAACAAACATACTTCATCAAAAACCTTTTATCAAAAATAAAATAAAATTACGTCCACACATCCTCTTTTTCTGCTTCCTCATGACGATGCATGCTTTAGAAGTTAGATATGACTGATTGTGTACTTGTTCTTTTGCTGAAAAATCCAATGAATGTGGTCAGTGTGAACTGCTGCTGTTTATTTCTGATGTGGAGGAATCTTAGAAATATGACTCACCCTGAAAGTAGTCACACTTTCCATCCATGAAGATGTAATTGACCAGAATGACACTGAAGATGCTGGCCCAGAGGTGAATATCACTGAACACCAGCACAAATCCCACATCCTGGGTGAAAATAAAAGGTTTGCTGCTGCAGGATTGAAACTACTTCATTATGTACAGAGGTATTAATTACGGGGAACTTACGTAGAAGGCATTGAAGAGAATGAGCAGTGGAATCTGAATCATGCACACCTGCACAGCAATGCAACTGCCCACTTCAAGGCTGTGGACCAAAAATATACAAGTTATTTGATACTTATTTTTATAATGGCTAAATTAACAATGGTATGGACTAGGCTTATACATGTTACACATACTATGTTAATACATGAGTAAAATGACATTGAACTACCACACATTACTGTGCTTGAGCCCACTGTGCTCTGATGTGTTACAATGGCGTTTGTTAGCAACCAGAAAATGACACCAGTAATGACAAACAGATGAGAATGCTGCGTGGGGTCTGGGTGCCGTGTTGGCGGGACGTTGCGGGGCTCGCTGCTCCGCCCTTTGAGGCTCGAGGAGCAGACAGTGTGAGCTGTAATAGGTGTTGTTTCCTGGTTGCTGCGTGGGGTCTGCGAGACAGTGAGACTCAGGCTGAGTTCAGGCTAAGAAATCCGCAGAGCCGCAGCTGAGAAAAGATAAGCCTGAGTGAGTGTGTGTGTGTGAGGAGTTACGTCACTATGCCCGTTTATGTCACTATACTCAGGAAGTAAACAATGGAAAAAGAGAAATCTCCAACGAGGCGTTCTGGGGCAGCATAGACAGGTCTTTTCTGTGTTAGAGTTTTACTCGCTACAG